ATCCCTGTGAGTTCGAGACCAGCCTGGGCTACATAGTGAGTTCCAGTTTCAGTCTGAACTACATAGTGAAACCCTGTCTCAAAAAACAAAAAAAAAAAAAAAAAAGATTCAAGGCAAAATATATTAAACAAGAAAATGAAATTGCCTGTCCCCTGCCAATTAACTTTTCAATAGTTAAATTCTCAAAGTGCAGATGGTACAAATCTGTTTTTATTTTCTCATATAAGGAATATAGTAGAGCTTACTTGAAAGAATTGTGATAATTTTATATAAGTGCTTAGCAGAGCTTTAATTCTCTAAGACTCTGCCTTATCCTTCTGAATTATTGATCTCAGTGATAGATACTAGCATGCTTTCTGTCCTCAGCCAGAGCACCAGCAGATGGTTTCCTCTTTCACAATACAGTTGCAATAGGCATAGTTAAAATCAAAGGGAAAACTCCTTGGGGCCACAAAGACTTAAAGTTAAAAGCCCAGGCCTTTTAGAGAGCTTGAAATAAACTTTTAAAATAAATAAAAACAAACAAACAAAAAACCTAGTCTAAAGTCCCTGTCTCACCCAGGAGACTAAAATAAGCTGAACTGTCAACCAGTCTGGACAGCAATGAGACACAGCGAGAGAGTAAAAATAGCAGAATGCTGAATTTCTGTGAGCCCCGTGTTTTTGTTTGTTTCAGTTTAGTTAGGAAAGAAGAAAAGTATCATAGGAAAATGAAAGCAACAGAGTGAATGAAATTCATCTGTATAATTCATATATTACAAAGAAGAAAATAAAAACAAGATGTCAAAGAAGGGGAAAACAGTAACACCAAAGAGGGAAAGCACAAAAATATTAAACCTGTATTTAGTTGTAAATCCTCTCTTTTTCGGTAATCATTCTAAAACAGAAACAAAGACATTAAAGGCAACATAAGCACAACAGGCCAGCCACCGACAAGTATTCAAGTGTAATGGGTGCCTCTACTGTTCTGAGGGGTCCCCATGGGGTGAGGGGCTGAGATCCCCGGCAGCAGAAAAGCGGGAAGAGCTGCAGAGGAGGGAAGGACTCCATGGCAGGAGGCCCACATTTCTACTAAATTTCCTCCAAGTCCATTTGGCGAGAAGCCCTTCAGACATCAGCCTCCAGCTTTATGCCTTTCATTAATGATTATCAACTCAAGCCCAGGAGTAGCCAAAAGATCCTCTGTTACCTGCTGGCAAGAAAGTAAAGGGAACAGACTGAAGGAAGCACAAGATCTTGCTGGAAGTCTTTCCTCAGACACTAAGTAGGTGAGTCACTTATCTTGATGTTGATATAATCTCCAAGGGTCCTTTCTCGGAAACAGCTGACGGTTTTTATAATAGCCCTGTTTGAAGCTGAACTTTCTCATCTTGATAAAAATGCGGGTAAGATCATAAAAGCACATATCAACAAAGGTGATGAAAGAGAATGTGTAGCTGGAAGCTGGTCACTTGCATCCTGAGTTGACACCAGCTAGTGGAGACCATGCCAGCCGCAGGAGGCATTTCTAAGTCACTGTGTGGGGTGTTTAAAAGGAGAATTTGAGAGGTCAAACTGGCTTGTGAAGAAATATTAGCTCCTTCATTTACTGACTGGAATGACCTGAAAGAAGGCAAAAATATCTTCATCTGGGGTTGAGCGAGGCTGCCTGGCTTGGTGGTTTAACAGGGTGATGGAGAAAAACAAAATTTAAATTTGATAATTCATTAATAGAAATATTCTAAAGGATAAATGTGGATGTGATACATTCATGTTTATGCCCCTTTATGACAAAATTAGTGTTACGCTTCACAGGTTAAAAGATTGATGTTAACAAGTTAATGAATACATGGGGAATCTGGTTGTCTCAAATTTTGCTGGGGAGATTATAAAATGGCACAACCACTTTGAAAAAATAGTTTTCTATTTTCCTAGAAAGTTGAGAATGCACTTATTATATGATCAAGACATTCTATTTCTAGGCACTTATCTAAAAGAATGAAACCACATGTCTATACAAAGACTTGTACATGAATTTTCCTAGAGGCTTTATTTGTAAGGGTCAAAGCCTGAAGACAATACAACTTTTCATTCAAAGGCAAATCACGCAATAGAATTTTGCTCAGCACTGAAAATGGATGGACTATTAGGATATACAACACAGATAATCTCAGAATAATTATGTTGAATGAAATAAGCCAGGAGGAAAGTGAGCACAGTCTATATTATTTCACTTCCTATAAAATCTCTAGGAAACCAAATTAATCTTCATCAAAAAAAGTGGATTATTAGCTGCCCAGGGGTGGGAGAAATGCTAAAGGATGGTCACGAAGACATTCCACAAAGACACAAGGAAACTTTAAGAGACTCATCAGTTTAATAAATTGAATGCTTAACATACCATGAAAATTGTAATTCTACACACATTACCACTTAGGAATCTCCTTGAGCATTAGAAATCCTAATACTGCATAAGAGTAATAACTTTTTTTGTTTTCTTATATGCAAAAAGTTCAAGATCTTCATGTTAGTTATTTCTAGAATTCCGTAGTCATATTATCAATCTCTAGTCAATAACTATGTGGGATTTATATTGTAAATCATCTTGTTATGCAAACTTGATCCCCAGTTATCATGAGGGTATAAAGAGGCAATAGAAACCAGCTTCTCAGGTACTGGTAGAGAATTACCAAGAAGCACAGCCCGGAGGTGACTCACATCTGTGGTAGCTTCAGTGATGATGACAACAAACTGAGTTATATTGCTACCACTTACTACCTAACACTGTGCTGGGAGAATGAGATCTATTTAAGCCTTACACCTTTGTGAATAAGTTCTTATTGTTGTTTCTGTTAACAACAGATGGGGAAACTGAAGTATGCAGAGTTTTTCCCAGTGATAGTTCGCATAATAGATAAATTATGAGTCTGGATTTGAACTTGGGAGTGCCTGGCTTCAAGATCAGAGCGTTTAAACTGGTACCAAGGGAATACTCCAAATCCTGTATGATAGGGAGTTCTAAACCATAGAAACGGTATACCTGCTGTGTTGAGCCAAGTGATGAGAATGAGCCACCTGCCCTGTGACTCAGATAGAAGGGGATGGGCTTTGTTTGCTTGATGCCCACTGCTGAAATGTTTCAAAGGAATTTCTTCCATTTGATCAAAATCTGTGAATTATGTATCATCCTGTTAGGTGAAAACTGGTGCCAAGAAAGGAAAGAAAAATGGCTGTGATAACAGAGTTGAGTTCCACATTAGAGATCAGAGAGTTCTCTCAACATTTGCAAGTGGACGAGAAGCACAGTCCCAGGAAAGGTAAACTTTACTTCTTCTCCTTGGCTCCAAAGTTCTGCAGTAAATTTTGTTTATGTGATGTATTAATACAAAGTAATTAATTTTTAACCTGTAATTTTAAATACCCAGTAACATTAATGTAAATGTATGAGGAAAACAAATACCACTATTCAGAAAATAGTTTTTGTTTTTGACAGTTACCTGTTTTATCTTTATCTATATGCATTTGCATTCTCAACAATTGCTAAAAGGTTGTCAACACATAGTATTACATATATATTGTACATCATATATATTGCATATATAGTATATGTTGTGTAGTATTTTCATATAATATTATAAATGTGATTGTGTTGCTTAAGCAAGGTAAGAAAAGCTGATTATAGAAACTTTCAAAATTCAGAAATGGAAGAGTTTCATAAATTTAATCCAACCACTATAATTTTATTGCATATATTTATATGCATATTTGTATAAATGTACCCTGTATATATTACGTTGTATATTTTTCAACTTACCCATATTTTTCCACAATGCTTTATAAAATTAACAAACATTATTCTTGAGATCATATTATATTTCAGCATTCCCAATTGTTCAAGTATTATTTACCTGAAAAATTCTCTTGCATCTGGGTATTTGAGTCATGGGCTTTTATACCGTTACTTGATTACTATGTATATATGAAACATATACATTATTTGGCTATTATATGTATATGAACTATAGATGACATATATTATGTTAAAAGAATATTCTTTTTTTCTTTTTTTTTTCCTAAAAACATTCCTTCACACAACACTTATCAACATTTGGATTATTTCCTCAGGATTTAAAATGAAAAATATGAGGCAAAAGTTTCAATGTTGTATTTCCAATGGCTACTGCTGTGGAGACTTTGGTTTATAATCTGAACAAAAGTGAAGCCATGTGGAGGACTTGGAGCCAAAGAAGGGATGATTTGATTATGATGTGATGATAGCACTTCCACTGCTGTACTGGGAACTGATAGAAGCAGGGAACCAAGTTGACAGCAGTAGCACAAATCTGGACAAGGGATATTGGTAGCTAGAACCATGAGGAAGGAGCCCTAAACCAGGAAAGCAGCAGCTTGTTGAGAAGTGGTTGAATTCTATGTGAATTTTAAATGCAAAAACAATAGTATGTTTCAGACAGACTGGATGTTGGGTGTGAAAGAAAGAAATTAAGGATGATTGCAAAATGTTTGGAAATATTGAATTTCTATCCAATGAGTTGGAATAGAATGTAAATGAAAATTTGGGGATGATATTTGTAATCTTTTAATCAGTTTGTTTAATTTGATCTGTTATTCAGTTAATCAGTTGATTTTTTAGTGGAAAATGCTATATCTTAAAATAAATAGCATCTTCAATTTGATGAAATACAATTTTACTATATTATATCTAGATTTTATTTTAACTTCAAACATAAGATACTACTCCAATGATATTTTTCCATATATTTAGCCAATTTTCACATAACTACTTAATACATAATTTAGCTGCCCCTCATTAATTACCACAACATCCTTTGCATACTGTATGACTCTCTTTGATGTTTTTGTAGTATACCTTGGATTTTTTTGCTTGTTTTTATTCCTCAGTATAAAGATGTTTTATCAATTTTTTCTCATGATAAATTTCAATGCTTTAAAATGCAAAGGTTTTTCAATGTTTACCTTGTATAATTACTACACATTCAAGTACCCTTATTTGTTTTTGTCACTGTATTCATTTTCTAGTCTTCTAAACATATTACCACAATTGTAGTAGCCACAAACAACACACATTTATTACATCACAATTTCTGTAAGCCAAAGTCTCAGGCATGGCTGGTCCTTCGCTGGGTCTCACAAAGCTACAATTAAGTGATCAATCAGATTTTTACCCACTTTTATGAAAAGCCCTTCAGTAGGCTCCCCACTCCCTCAAAATAGCCATGTAACTTAAACTTTGGGAGAGTTGTTTATTGCTGTAGATGCTTATTCTACTTATGTTTTCAGTAATTGAGAACAAATTTACATTTAAATTTTGAGATTAAAGCCCTGAAACGATTTCCACATTAGGGAAATTGATTCCCTCAACTTATGAGAAAATATAGTTTAAAAAAATACTGGAAGAAGAAATGAGCTTGGCCTTCATATAATCTATCTTTTCACTTCCAAGAAAGATGACAGCTTCAAAGTAGAAATTTCACGCTCTCTTTCTAAGCTCCTGGCTGCTTTGTCCAAAGAATACAAAACACAGGGAAATCAGCATTTGTGGTTGAAATTAAACGATAGAATGATTCAGAAATTGAACTTTGAAGATCATGATTAGATGTGATAAAACTCTATCAGCTCCAAAGTTTAGCCCTCTCCTCAGCTCCTTAAAATGGCCTTGAAGCATTTGCTTAGTAAAGGCTATTCCGGCACAGCACAAACAACAGCCTAATCTGGCTTTTATTTTGAGAGAGATAGAGCCTGCTGAAGGGTTTTACATGGACCAGAGTAAACATGTAAGGCAAGAAGGTCTATTCAGCTGCTCACAGATTTCTTTACAGAAGGACTTCAGACAAAGTAGTTCATTGGAATTATTTCTACTTTATTTACTTTTCTCCATGTGGGAAGAAAAAGAACATAGATCAAGAAGTTTGGGCAAATACCTTAAGAGAGTGTAGCTCATCACATTCTGCGGCCTATGCTGGACAGGTGAATCCATTCAGTTCAGGAAATAGCGGGGAACTAGACTGACCCCTCTTCTAAACCATGTCCTCTAGTTGAAAGTTTTATCTTCAGTAAAGTACTGAACAAATATGTATAATCCCCAGGGTATGTAACAGCAAACAGCAGATGTAACAGGTTAGTGGATCCTACATTCCAGAAAGGGACATAAAACACAATGCAAAACAGCAAACGTAGAGTCATCAGAGGATATTAGCACTGTGAAAAATATAAAGCAAGAAAGGACTAAATCCTTAACAAGAGTTGTCCAGGCATCTAGTTGGGGGAAAGCACACCATAAAGAAGAAAGAAGCTGTGGGAAGGCCTGCATGTGGAGGGAGAGCATTTGGCATGTTCACAGAGCCAGACAAAGGTGTGCAGAGTAGAGTGAGCCAAGGCAGAAGAGAAAAAAACACAAGAAAGAGACAATATATGTATATATGGATGTGAACATATTTATTTTAATATAGATTTTATATTTATTTCTTCTTACTCGTGTATGATTTCACCAGTTCCATAGCACAGTGACTTGGAAGTCAGGAAGGCAGAACTACAGGATAGACAGAATGTCCTAGAGTGAGCAGTACTCTGCAAGGCTTTGGTATAAAATGCCTTTTGCTTCAACTCAGTCTTCTCCTTTGGTATCTTTTTCACCTGAAACCAATGAAAGTGCCATTTGAGTCATCAGGTGATGGTCTGCGGTACTTTTCTGTTAACATCTTGCAAAGGATTAATGTTGGCTTAGTAAAGAAAACAATGTGGTATCATATTTGCAGTTCCACGTTTTTGTTCCATTCGCTATGGAATAGCCTTCGCTGCACATCTCTTCAACTTCGTACTCGCTGCACAGAGTGTCATCCTGAATATCACCATGGTAGCCATGGTCAATAGCACAGACCACCAGTCCCTGCTCAACAACTCTACAGAAGTACTCCCTATAGGCTCACCAGATGGCCCAGGTAAAGCCCCAACTAGTATTCCTGCAAAGGTAAGCAATGCAAGATTTAAATTTGATCTCTTATTTTTGCTAATTTGCTAGGGTATTTATTTTATTTCAGTTTCTATGTTCAGTTTTTACTTGAGAAAATACTGATTTGAAAACAAGTAAAATATCCAAAGAAGCTTCTTTCTGTATATGGTTTACTGTAGCATTTTTCTGTTTTTCTAAGGCTCCTGTGTATGACTGGAGTCCTCAGACACAAGGCATCGTCTTCAGTTCCATCAACTATGGCGTCCTGCTGACAATGGCCCCTGGGGGTTACGTGGCAGGGAGAGTGGGAGCAAGGAAAGTGGCTGGTGTTGCTTTATTGGGATCATCACTTCTCACTCTCTGCATCCCTTTGGCTGCTAATCTTGGACTAGTTTACCTCATTGTCGCTCGAATAGTCCAGGGTCTAACCCAGGTAGCCAGTACATTCTAAGTCTGTGCTGAATATGAATTTCTACCTAACAGTATATGTCAAGATCACTAACCATTTTTATTTCAGGGTTCAGGATTTGGGGGTCATTTTGGACTTTGGCAGAAATGGGCTCCTCCACCTGAACGAAGCAGACTCTGCAGCATTTCTTTATCAGGTAAAGAGATGGTCACCATGGACCCAGTGCAGCCCAGCGTATCAGGTTCTCTGACAACTCTGCTTTGCATAGTTGTTCATCCTCTGCTCACAGTCAATGAAATCTAGATTTGAAATAAGGAGAGTGTCTTTTGTTGGTGACATGAGTTTAAGCTCCTTCCCTAGGTTTTCATTTATTTATGATTTTGACATTTAAATTTTTTTCACGTAGTCAAATCGATTGTTTTATAACATCTGGATTTGGAGTCATAGATGTAATGGTTATAAAAGCATCCATCCGTGTTTTTTTTCCTGCACTTGTGCAGCTTCATATTTCTATATTAGTTTCTGGCTGACACATTGGAGCTCATATTAATATTCAGTTTGATCTTCTTTGGACTTGCTCTTCGTTGTCCTGAAAGCCTTTTCTTTCTGCTAATGATCTATGACGATAGTGTGTCCAGAATGAGCATTTTGGAGGAAGAAATCTAAATTTTACTGGGCAAGAGTAGGAAATGGACAATATGTAGTTAACAAACAGCATGTTGCCAAAATTAGTGTTAGGTAAGAAAATGCAAATCGCTAGGTAACTAGACAAAGAGACAAAAGAACCAATGACTCTTCAAGCCCCCGCAAACCAAGCAATACACACACAAACCTCTCCTAACAGCAGGCCCATCTAAAGCCCCTCACAACCCTGAGAGGTTTAGTCTCTGTTACAGTGTTTGCATTTACTGATAGAGGAAGGCAGGGTCCAACCTAGACACTTCAGTTATTACCCTGTGGGGTTATCCCAGAATACACTGCAAGAAAATCCAAGGTAGAAAGCATGAAAGAAAAGTTAACCAGTTTTAGAAAGAAGACAGTGACCTTATAAAAATAGTAATTCCCATTCCTCTCCCTTTCTAGTGTATAGAGATTGAACAACCAGAATAGGTCAACTGAATATGTAGAAGAATCTCAGGAGTCTACAGGGCTATGAGTCTGGAAGGCTTCCTTGTCTTTATTTGGGGACCTGGTGGAGGGGCCCCAAGAACTTGACTCAGAAAGCATACAGCCCATGACTACCACAGAGTGTCTAATAGAAGGCCACTGGAAAAGTCTGCCAAGTAATGCTGGGGCTTCTGAGCAGGCTACATGGGTAGACAAGATCATTTAGTCCATGAAGTTGGAAAAGGAGTCCCCAAAAGGTTCTCAGCAGAAGGGCCCAAGTACTCCAGCCTCTAGGACAAAATACATATACAACATCTTTCTCTAAGAGGGGCTACACGGGCATATCTATTACAGGAAGGAAACTTTGCAGTCACTTAAGCAGTTTAGTTACTCCAGGGTAGAAGCCTAAGTCCAAACAGTTTAATAGGTGATAAGGGGCTGGCAACTAAAATTCCTTTAATCTAATTCTTCATGCACAAGTGAAAATGAAGAAATTATAGCTGCATAACACAACATTGATAAATATTGGAACACACATGGTGAATAAGGTACATATATCTATCCTGGGAGAACTTTGCCTGATGGCTTGTAAGTGTCAGGGTTAGGGGGAATGTGTTGTTGTTAGGAGCAGTGTGCTTGTACAGGTACACTGAACACCAGGCACACTATCTCAAAAGCTGTAGCACAGGCACATTTTGTCTCGGGACAAATTTCATGCTGTAATTGCAAGATTTGTTAGAATAATTTAAAACAAGTGACATGTGAAAGGAGAAAAATGGCATTAGTTAACTCATGTAAGATAAACTGTAAACAAGTGGAAGGACCACATGACCTGAACCAATTATGCACAATGCTCAAGTGTCCAAACATCTTTTCTGTGCCTTTCTGCTGCCTTAGGATTCCCACTGAGGATGTGGGTATAAGAACCAGAGATGAGGCTGGACCAAGGGTGCCCACAGAAGGAAAGCATTAGGGGCCAAGGTCATACTCTTGTCCTATGAGGGAGATAGTATGTTTAGAGCTGGCCACCATTCAACTCACTGAAGAACTTCAACATTGGCCTGAGTTTTATCGTGTTTTCTGAGCACGTGGAGACAGAATGAATATCCTTCTTGGGTGACTGAATTCATCCCTCCTAAATATTGAATCAGCAGTATGATGCTAGTAAGCAGGCTCTTTAAGAATTAAAAACACTGCTTGAAAGTATTTATCAATCTTTGCATTCCTGATGTTCCCACAATGGCCAATGTCAAGAAATTCATGTCAAATCACTGATTGTAGAGTTAGAAAGAAATGGGCACAAGTGTGTTTCACAAGTATCAGCGCCCTACTGACAGAATGCCTCATGTATATCTTGAATGTTCAAGGGCTCAACATTTTGAGAGGTTTTTGTCCTGAAAGGGAACAGAGAGGTGTCAAAATGCGTGGATGGAGTCCTTAGGAGGAAGAATTTTTTTTTATTACTTTTTTTTAGCATATTGAAATTTTAAATTTTAACTCTTTTAATTGATGCATAAGAATCATACATATTAATGAGTACTATGTGATGTTCCAATACATGTAAACATTGTATAATATTTAAATCAAGCAAGCATATCTGTCTCCTCAAGCATTTACCATTTCTTTGTGATGGAAACTTTCAAAATCCTTTCTTCCAGCATTTTTCAAACACACAGTATGTTACATTATTATTGCCTAGAGTCACTCTTCTATGGAATAGGACACCAAAAACCTATATTTTCCTTTTACCTGGACCCATATGAATGTCTCATTTGCATGTGGATGGACAGAAGTCTAGAGATAGGAAAGGAAGTGAGGAAGTAGGAGGGAGAAAGGAGCCCAGGTCTTGCGTAAGCTGGATAAGATAAAAAAGAACCTGTCTTGGATGCACACAGGAACCTCTTCCCTACTATCTTCAAAGTACAGGCAGAGTCTGGGAAAGGGTACATACTAGATAGGCCTGGTGGTAGAAAAATGCTGGTTTCCATCTCCTGTATCTGTGCCCCAGCATCAGGTGACATGTTTTCAAATGCTGCTTTCCTGTTATTAGTTCTGTGACCTTGTGCAAGTTATTTAGCTTCCCTTTATCTCCATTTTCTCAAGTAAAAAATTGGATTACTAAGGCTTAAATGGTGTAACACAGGCAATAATTTAAATAAAGAACCTATATAAAACAGAAAGAAGCAACCATTTTTTTAACTATAGGGTTGGGGAAAAAACCTAAGAAAAGAATAAACCTAGAGGTCATTATAGAGAAGCAACATAGATTGACATTATAAACACTTATAACTGGTGATTATGAGATTCAAAATAAACAAAGTCAAGATTGGAGCATTGCAGCCAGCCTGCCAGACAGAGGGTTGTTCACAATACATGAAGAATCTATAGATTGAGGCAAAGATATATGAGCAACAGAAGCAGAGAGAAAAAAATATCAACTGTTCATTGAAGAAGTAAGGCCCATAATTAAACATAGGGAAAATGTGCAATTTCACTATAAAAGGAAACTAAAGTGATACTCTGTCATGTGTATTAGAAGAACAGTTCTTAAAATTTTGAGAATATTAGATGTCCTCAAGGAGGTGAAGGAAAAGATATTTGTTGTCACCTTATTTAGTACAGACTTTTAACAAGGTAATTTAGTAGAATTTGGCAAAATTTGAGAGCACATGGATTTTGATTTACCAAGTACTTATTTGACATTCCATTGTCCAAAAAATATGTGTTCAGAAATGAATAATTATGTTTATGCTCAGAAGTAGAATCTGCAATGACATAAAAATACTTATTGTAAGACCAATTGTTAAAAAAAGGAATATCTCAAAACAATAAAAATATTATGATCCTATGTATTTTTAAATTCCCATAAATATACATTGAATTGGGTCAATTAATGTTAAAATGGAAAATAAAAACTATAATAGCCTAGAAATACTTGAAAATGTTGTAAAAATGGAACATTCTCTATCACACATTTGGCAAGCTCTGTAAAGCTATGGAAATTAAAAAGGTGTTATTAACACATTTATAGACAAATCTAATGTTCTGTGTAGAAATTACATGAATGTATTTACAAAGAAAATGAGTGTATGTGTAGATATATATGTTGTGTGTGTACAAAGAGAATTAAGTAAGCACTTATAGGTTGTAATTATAAATTATGAATTGTTACTAATGATTATCTTCAGGGAGGAGACTGGAAATGGATTTGAAGGACATTTGAAAGGAACTGGAGTTCTTAGTAGTTTAGTTTTATAATAAGCATATATGACTTGTGAAATTAAAACCAAAATATCATGAAAGAAAGTATGACAGTCACCTGCAATATTATTAGGGAACTGAGAGAAAAAAAATGGGTTCTTGGGAAAGTATATGAGCTAAATAATGAACCAGGAGTTTCTATATTCATTGTGCTCAACCCTATGGATTGGTGACACTGCTCCATCTGCATCCACCAATCAGTATATGTGAGTTGGGAGAGAGTACAGGGCCCCACAACTCACTTTCTGTCTCTTTGCAGGAATTATACTGGGAATGTTCAGTGTTATCCTCCTTGGTGGCATCATTAGTCAAGCCCTCGGGTGGCCTTTTGTCTTCTACGTCTTTGGTAAGTCCTGTCTTTCTCCCAGTTCCCAAGTTTTCCTCATCAGCAAGATTCTTCTGAATGCATATAACAGTAGGTATTTTTCTAAAAGAAATGAACCAAAACAGACAAATATTAGAAAGCCAAAATGTTGTGATACGATACAAATAATTGATTAACATCCACCATCACAGAATATGAAGATCCTCCTGTTTGTGATACAGTGCTATCGACAGCCACAATGCATCATCACCACAGTGTCACCAGGCTCCCTGCTGCTTTTGCAGGCAGTAGGAAAGAGTCTTGCAGAGCAGTGGTTTGTAGACCTAGCAAACAGAAATCTAGAGATAAGTGGCTTTTGTCCCATATAAGCATGGTAATAACGGGTCCTGGATAAGATGTAAGTTTCCCAAAGGAAAGCAAAAAGAACGGGTTTTCACTAATCTCCAATTTTGCCCAGGACTTTCCATTTAACTAACCAGAAATCAGGAAACAACAGCCTAGACCACAAATCCCACATTCTGCTTTCAAATCTCTTATCAGCTTGCATTTGTTTGTTTATGCATCTTCCCTCCCTTCTACACATCTTCCCTAGGTACAAAGGTGGAATACGGTTTGTTTAGAGAGTTGTGCAGAGTTCAATGGATTGTGCAAACACTAATCCAGAGAAAATCAAGTGGCTATTTTAGCATCAGAGATGATTTCAATTACCAATATTACCAACTCTCTATAAAAACAGCAATCTCAAATGTATATGTATTTAACAATAAAGCTTTGGGCCAGTTGTTTAGCTCAGTGTTTCCACTGCCTGCCTCACAAATGCAAGGACCTGAATTTGATACCTGGTACCAAAAAAAAAAGGGGGGGGGATTCAAAATACATGAAGCAAAAATGGACAGAACAGCAAGGAGAAATAAATACACAACTAGAGATGAAGACCTCAAAATTCTTCTCTTAATAATTAATAGAATAGATAGATTCAGGGGATGAAGTACACTTCATTCAACAGCATTTCAATAGTCTTCAAGTACACTGGAAATGTTCATCAATCAGAAATCTATGAACCACAAAAAATTTAAATTGAAAATTATAAAAAATATATTCTTTGACTGTAAGGGAATCAAACTAGAAATCAGTAACAGAAGGCTATCTAGAAACACCTCAAATATTTAAAAATTAAGCAACATAGCTTAATGGGTGAAAGAAAATATCATAAGATTAGGGTAGAGATTATTGGCAGTCAGACCAGGGGATCAAACACACATGCGCTCTCTCCTATGTTACGTGCTCTCTCTCTGGTCACTCTGTTTTTACCTTTCTTAGGACAGTGGGTTGCTACTCAAACGCAAGTGAGTGGAGGGGAGTGATTTCCCCACCCTCATTATTCTAACTGCACTATGCAGAGATATCGTAAAATATAGTATGCCTATAAATTTCATCATTTGGATAAAATTAATAAATTAATTGAAGGGACACAAAGTAATAAAATGTACTTAGGAAGGAAGAAATAACCTGCACACCCCATGCATTTTAAGCAATTTGTATTTAGTCTAAAGTTTTCCGATAAAGAAAACCCTAGACCCACATAGTTTCACCGGCAACTTTTACCAAACATGCAATCAAGAAATGATATCAATTCTTCCTTAAAATATAAGAAAATACTTTATGATTCATATTTGACATCAGAATTACCTTGAAACCAAAACCACGTAAGGTTATTACCAAAAAAATGGATACTCTCATGAGTCTAAACAGATACCTGAAAAAAATACCATCAAATCAAACCCATCAATCTTTAGAAAGAATAAAGCATCATAAGTGGGGAATGTATACCTGAAGTGCAAGGAAGTTCAATATTTTAAGTCAATGTAATTCAGGGGGCATAATGAGGCCCGCAGCCAATGTAACATTGTGCTGGGTGTCTACATTCACCTGAACGTAGCAGAAAGCACCACACACACCACCTAGCCTGAAAACCAGGCACAGTGTTTGTTGTGAATGCAATGGTTGTCAAGGCAGTGGACATCAGGCATGGAAATGTCTGTGAGGAGTGAACACCAGGGTATAGCACCAAAGGAGAGCACTCTGGCAAAACCCAGCGGGAACTCTGAGATGAGGAAAGGAAGTGATTGGAGATAGTAGTACAGGTGTAGTTCACAGAACAGGGTGCCTTAGGGGAGACACTGCACAAAGAGATGCCACAGTTATCTGCTGAGCTCCCCTCAAGTACCCAGCCATGTAGTGATCAGGTTCTATGTGTGAACAAACAGGCCAGTGGGGAGAGTGCGGTCATGGGTCAAAGTTAGAGAACACACAGTATGAGCACTCACAGTCAACCAACTTTATTGCTTATTCCAATAAGCAGATTGAAAAACAGTGCAAGGGTCATTGGGTAAAATACTCGAGTGTTTTTCCTCGGTAGTGGGAAATTATTAGCTCTAGAGAGAACCCTGTTATTGATCCTTCTAACAAATGATGATGGCAAGCATCAAAGGATCCAGTTAACACAATTTAATTATATCCCTGAACAAAACTCAAAAGTATTTATAGGAATAAAACAATATCTAGCATCCAGCAAAGTTTGGCATGTCTGGCTCCACTCATAAATTACCAGACATGAAGCATACTACACCATGATGTATCATAATTAAATAGCTAAATACCATTACCAAAGAAATAAGTTTAATGCAACCAAAGCTAAAAGATACGTTATATACAGAGGGAAAAAGATGATGACAATGCAGATTTCCTGGCAGAAGCAATTTGAGCGATAAGGTGGTGGAAATTCTTTAAGGAACAAGAAAAAAAAAAGTCAATCTAAAGTTTCAGACCCAGAGTAAAAAAGCTATTTCAAAAACAAAGGCAAAATAATGATGTTTTCAGACAGAAAAGTTGAAGGAATTTGGAATATAAATTTTCAATAGGACCAAAAATATGCAAGGCAGAGATAAATCTGATCAAAGTTATGAAAAACCAAATTCCCATGCAGATGCAAACATTCAAGGACAGCCAAGCTGCTTTGAACTGTTAGGACTAACTTCCTGATGTCAAGGCATATTGTAAAATGAGAGTCCTTGATTATTAGCATGAAGACAGACAAAAGGCTTCACAGAACAGACTGTAGTCAAATATAGACTCCTACATCTAAGTAAACTAATCTTTGACAAAAGTGCAATTACTGGAGAAGGATAGTCTGTTTAGCAGATGGTGCTCAAAAATCGGGTATCCACACTCAAAAGCATTTTATGAATTTATTCATATTTTACATCATGTATAAAACTAGTTTAACAAAAATCTCAACCTTAATATGAAATCTGAAAGCAGTATCCTACTAGGAGAACACATATGAAACAACTTTTTAATAAGCCAAAAATGTCTTAGATATAACACCAAAAGCCTGTCCCATGAAATAGGAAATGGAGGGCCAGGGCTTTAGCTCAGTGGTTCCATTGTCTGCCTTGCAAGTGCAAGGACCCAAGTTCGATCCCCGGTACCAAAGAAAAACCACAAACAAACGAACAAAAAAACTAGAAATAGGAAATGGATCACATAGATTTCATGAAACTTAAAAAAAAAAAACTTCTCTTCAAAGAGTACAGTTAGGATAATAAAAAGACAAACTGATTCAAGGAGAAAATGCTTGCAAAACACTTATGTAATAAGTAAATTTGTCCAGAATATGTCATTCTCAACACTCAGTAATAAGAACACAAAACCCCCAACTCTAAAAATAGATACAGATATTTCAAGGAAAATACAGAAAAGGAAAAGAGCAAGTAGGGAGGGTGGAGGTCATGGGCCAAGGTCAGAGAACTCAGACTGTGAGTACTTAACAGTGGACCAGGTTTATTCCTTATTCCAATAAAACAGATTGAAAAACTCATAATTCTTAGGTCATTAGATAAAATACTCATAAGAGATACATAACTCAGTATCTTTAATCATTATGGAAATGCAAATAAAAATCACATGAGATACCTCCACACACTTATTAGAATGGCTATTATTAAAAAGATTGATATCAAGTGTTATACCATTCCTAGCATAATGTGATTTACACACATACAAATAAACAAGAAATATGAAGAAATGGGTGCTAGAAAGCTATGATATTCATGTTAATCATTTGAGAAATGGAACAGGGATATAAACAGTGAGAGCTTTTACTAGGACCTACACCAGAATATGTCCAAATAAAAAAAATCATTCAAAAAGCAGAAATGAATTCAGTTACCAATTTGATCCTCTGTTTTCAGGAGGCCTTGGCTGTGTCTACAGCCTTCTCTGGTTTGTTTTGGTGTATGATGACCCTGTCTCTCACCCATGGATAAGCATCTCAGAAAAGGAGTACATCTTATCCACCTTGAACCAACAGGTAGGTATCCATAAGGACTCCAGCCCCCTTCAGAGACCTTGAGTCAGCATCTGTATTCCTAAAGGTAACTAAGAGGGTGTGAGCATCTCTCAGATCTTAATGGTGCTGACCAATAACTTTGCTTTCAGGACAGCTCAAAAAAGCAGTCTCTTCCCATCAAAGCTATGCTCAGATCTCTGCCCATTTGGTCCATTTGTCTGTGCAGTTTCAGCCATCAGTGGTTAATTAATACACTTGTCATATACATACCTACTTACATCAGTTACGTGTACAAGGTTAACATCAGAGATGTGAGTATATTTCCCTCCATTTCTTTCTTTTTTTACTCTGCCTTCACAAATCATACCACCTAGAGGAAGTTACTTTCTTTTACTTAAAATAATCTAAACTTTAACACGTATGCCAGTAGATTTCCTAATGGTGTGATTAAAGAGGTTATCAATTTTCCTATGAAAGAACAACTGTAGAAAGTCAATATGATTATCAGTGACTTGCCAATGAAAGTAATGGCTTTTTCATGTGATTTGCTCCATTTCCCCTCCTTAGAATGGGCTCCTGTCTTCCCTTCCTTTCATTGTTGCCTGGATCATTGGTCTCCTGGGAGGCCATGTGACAGATTTCCTTCTGACCAAGAATTTTAGGCTTGTCACAGTGAGGAAAACTGTCACGATGCTAGGTAAGAACAGGGCCTGAAGTTCACAAGCATTCAACAAAAGAAGTCACTGTTTAATTTGTCTGCCCTCCATTCCCTAGGACAACTTCCTGCTTCAGCATTCTTGGTGGCCCTGCCATACCTCAATTCCAGCTACATTACAACACTCACATTTCTGACAATCTCATGTGGATTAGGCTCCTTCTGTCAATCAGGGATCTATATCAATGCCTTAGATATTGCTCCAAGGTAGGATACTTGTCTCCACTTTGAGTATCATGTTTTCTGAAAAATGTTTAGTTTATACCTTTCTAGGAGCCTCAAGCTTTGAAAAAGAATAAATCATAGACAAGAACCACAGATAGTCCTGTATGTGGTGGGAGGGGTACTGATTTGTGATAATGTCTCTCATTAAGTATACACAGCACAGTTCCATTTTGATATAATTATTTAATGGATTTCAACATAGAACAGGGCTAAAGGGTAGGTACTACCAGGCATTTCTGGATTTGGTCTGGAACATCCCTATCACCCACAGATATTCCAGTTTTCTTCTGGGAGCCACAAGAGGATTTGCACACACATCGTCTGTGCTGGTACCCATCATCAGTGGGTTTCTCCTTAATCAGGTAGAGTTCTCTCTTCCAAAAAGACTCAAGCTGGGGATTTGGCTCAGTGATTCCACTGCCTGCCTCACTAGTGCGAGGGCTGAGTTCTATTGCCAGTACCCACCCCCCCTGAAAAAGAAAGGAAGGAAAAAAAGAAAGAGAGAGACAGAGAGAGAGAGACTCTTAAAAGTGCTCTCCCCAATAAATAAAATAAAATACTCTGCCCAATCCATTTATGAAAGTGATAGCATAAAGACCATAAAGATTAGAAAATAAAATTGAAATATGAGTGATAAGATAATGAACCCAGTAAAGAAAAATAATTTCCTGGTAACCTTAATTCTGGTTATTCTGGAAACAAAGAACTAACTAGTGATGTTCTGGTGATCACTATCTTTGACGCTGAGATCACACAGCCATATAGGTGTCTTAAGACACCTATGTGATGATTCTATATCAGTCTGCTATGTCTTCTGCAGCTCTTTGAAGTTTTCATTCCATAACTACAATAAAGGGAAAGGATAATGTAAGCAAACATTTTAAGTCTCTGTTGTATACTGGCATTATTGTAGCTATTTCATATGCAATAATCTTATTTAAGTATAGATTATTACATCTATTATGAAAATGGAATATAATTATCCTTATTTCCTAATGATTAAACTAAAAATCTGATAAAATAAGTCTTTTTGCTAAGAGGCTGTGTCATCATAATTCTAACTTAGAAATGTCTAGGTCAGAAGCCCATATTATTTTCCACTACACCATTGCAATGTAAGGAGAATTTTTATAACATTCCTAGCATTTATTGTTTATATGGTCAAGATTCATACATGAGACAAGATGTATGGCACTTTGATAATCATGACAAATGAAGTGCTGTAGGCTAATTATAAAGGTGAACAAATGCTTTTCATTACAAAAACTTTAAATGTATTTGGAATTTTGTTCTCCATCTATCAAGCCACTTTCAGGAAATGAATTTCTACACGGAAACTCATTTGTGAACATTGTCATTTTAATAATAATATGAAATTTCATAGAACAAAAGATGAAAGCAGTAATATTTACTTTATTTTGTCTCCAGAACCCTGATCTTGGGTGGAGGAATATATTTTTCTTGTTATTTGCCATTAATATATTGGGACTGATCTTCTACTTCATATTTGGAGAAGCAGATGTCCAAGACTGGGCCAAAGAAAGAAAACTCACTCATTTATGAAGGTAGAGAAAAACTCTTTAATTTAAAGTTATAACCACAATGCCAGGCATGGTGGTGCACTCCTGTAATCCCAGCACTCAGGAGACTGAGGCAGGAGGATCACTGTGAGTTCGAGACCAGCCTTGGTTACATAGTGAGTTCCAAGTCAATCTCAACTACATAGTGAGACCCTGTCTCAAAAATAAAAAAGAAAGAAAGTTATAGCCACAGAAATACAACTTAAAGTTTTACATTCCATGTTATTTTCTTTTCGTAGTTGTCCCACTTTGGCTGGAAAAGTCATTATCCATGTTTCATAACTGGGAAAAGTTCAGTGATGAAAATACAACAGAATGAATTGTATTTGCTATGGCTTTTATAAAAAAAATGAGATCATTTTTTTCTTGTACTAAGACTTCTGGTGAGGAAAATACAAAATGAATAAAAATTCAAATAAAACGATAACTAAGAACAAAGTTGTCCTCTTTGGATTAAAAAGAGAGATTGTATGGAAATCATTGTGTTAATTTCTATTTCTGTATGTGGATAAAGGAACACTTCTCCACTGTTGCTGGGAGTGTAGGCTGGTGCCACCACTGTGGAAATCAGTATGGAGACACCTCAAAGAGCTGGGATTAGAGGTCCCATTGGACCCAGCTATTCCCCTGCTGGGTATCTTCCCAAAAGAATTAAAAGAATCACAACACAGTGCTATATGTGCACCCATGTTTATAGTGGCACAGTTTGTAATAGCTAAAACTTGGAAACAGACAAATTGGTCATCAACTGGAGACTGGATAAAGAAGACGTGTTTTTTTTTTAAATAAATGAAGTACTATTCAGCCATAAAGAATGATAAACTAGTAGGCTGGGCATGGTGGTGCATGCCTGTAATCCCAGCACTCTGGAGGCAGGGGCAGGAGGATCCCTCTGAGTTCCAGACCAGCCTGGACTACATAGTGAGTTCCAGGTCAGTCTCAATTACATCATGAGACACTGTCTCAAAAAAAAATTAAAAAAAAAAACTGGAGACATTTATAGCTAAATAGATGCATACTAAGGCCATACCCTTAAGTGAAATAAATAGGACACCCATGTGTAAATACTGAATAATTTCTCTGGTGTGAGAAACTGCAAGTGTAAATAAGGATTAAAATGTATAATAGATAATGCAAAATAAAAAGAAAAGGCCCAAAGGGAAAGGACACATGGAAGGGGTAGAGGAAAGGAAATAAGGAAAATGAACAAATATGAGAAAATTAAAAAACAGAAACAAAGTCTTTGTAAATAAGGAGGGATGAAAGGGTAGAAGGAAGGGCAGGGGAATGGGGAAAAAATAAGAACCAAGATATATCATATACAGGTACTAATTCCCAAAGATGAATGTCATCATATCTTATACCTACAATGTACCAATAAACAACAAATTTTTAAAATTTTTCCATATCTGGACACAAGAAACAATGTTCTGGTTGGCAGTGATTTTTCCTAATTGATTCATATCACATAATTAATATTAATTAGATTGCTATTGAATAAATTGAATATTGATTTCTTTTTATTGGGCTGAGTGTTGTCAGGTGCTCCTCTCTGTGTGGGCACCACTACTCATCACCTTGCCCAGACCCCAGAAGCTGAGCTGCATGGATCGCACTCCACACTTCCCTATCCATTGTCTTCCCCTGCATGTGCGCTGGAGACAGGAAAGCAAAGACAAAATGTATTTAGCTGTGAGGCTCACTGCAGTTCATGGCCCAGCCCTCACATACTCTAGAAGCATTTTCCCTTGTCTGTTAGGACTTTTTTCTTTTGCTAGCTCTGATGTTCTCCAGAATTCCTTGTCATTTTCCTATCACATGCCTGATCCTGTGTAAAGCTAAATGGTCACTTGCTCAGTAGTCTGTCTATTCAGCAAAGGTGGGAAATAAGTTAGGTCAGGAGGAGCTAGGAAAAGGAAGAGAGATGAAGAATGTCTATACGGTAATATGGGAAGATTGTGGCATTTGGGTAAATGGATGTCCAAGAGATAAGGATTCAAGGAGTCCTTGGTCTCTGACTTAACAAATCAGATACTAACTAAAAAGAGAACACCGGATGTTGAGTCCTTTCAGGGAAAAGATAATCTGACTTTAGGACATATTATGCTATGGTTACAGGATAATCAAGTGGACACAGGTATTAGCTTTCTGCTGTGACAAACTGTGACAAAATGTTTGGCTTAAACAACAATTTCTTGCCTCAAAGCTGTAGAAACCAAAGTGTTGGCAGGTATGGTTCCCTTTAAGGTCCAGATGAAGAATCAGTTCTATGTCTCCAGTGACCCTAGATTTAATCAATGCCTTCTCTCAGCGTCCTCATGTCATCTTCCTGTTGTATTGTCTGTCTTGGTGTCCAAATTTCCCCTTTTCCTAAGATCACTAGTCATGCCGGATTATGGCCCACTGTGATATTTTCATCAGCTTGACCACTTGCAAAGATCATGTATCCAAGTGAATTCACACTCATGTATGCTGGGGCTAGGTGGTGAGGGGGACACAATCCATAAATGCATACTTAATAAAGGATCATATTATGAATCTGAAACTTGCAGAGAGAAACTAGACTGGCTTCAAAATATAGAGGGGAGAAAAAGAAATTTGGTTCTAAAGACCTGGGTATGGGCTGGGTTTATCCACAACAGCATATGAATGGAAAAGCACCAAGCCAAGACAGGGGCCAAGGAAACTCAGGAACATGACTTGTTAAGACAACCAATCAGTAATAACAGCGTGTATAATGAAGTTCAGTTAAATGTCAGGAAAGGAACCAACTTCCCAGTTGTGGAGCACAGTTGAAAGGATCCATAATGCTTGTCTCAGCTGCTAGGTTTTTATTATTAAATATATCATTAAAATGTTTACTGTGAAAATAAAGAGTGATTTAAAATTAAATCAACTGACTGAAATGATTCTACCTTTGGCTGTAAACATTTTGTAAAAAGATGTGGGCTACACAATGAGATCTATAGTTCAAGACAGCAATTATACTTTCTACTACAACCAAGTTTTTTCAATGACAACTGTTGTCTTCTCTGAAATCCAACACATACACACAAAGATGTCTCCCCACATTATTTCGTAACTACTGTCTTTCTGATATTAAGCGAAACATTTCTGACAACTAAGTAAAAGTGATAAGAATCAGTACGTGAGAGGTGTTTGAGAGAGGGAAGAGGTAGAGTTGGATTATGATGTTGATTTGTCCTACTGAAGGAAGATGAAAAGTTTGCGTGTTTATATTACAATTCATTCAGGGTAGCAAGCCCACATGGCAGCATGGTGATGGTTAATGCAGTCCATGTGACAGCAATCACTTGCTGAGCTGCCAGCATTAAAAGCCACTTTTTGCTCCTATCTTTGTGTTAAGAGTAGTCTGTTCGGTGTCCTCACAGTTTCCTGCTTCACACCCATGTCCCCTATGTACCCTTTACCATTTTTCTGTAGTCCAATTTCCTAAAAACCTAGCATCTTTTTTTACAGGACTCTTCTTCTTAGGGTCTGTTTCTAAAGAGTCTGATGTAAATTGGTGGTTTCTACATGAGACTCTAAGACCAGGAGTTCTGTGCAAAAGATTTGTAGGAAAAATGGGCAGAGATAAGAATAAGTAGAATCTGGATGGGATATCAAATCAGATCCTGTTAAATTCTTAGGAACTTTAGAAGACAGTGTGGGCCTTGGGAGATAGTGTGGGCCTTGCCTAAGAGATGTCCCAAACAGGAAAGAGCAAGGGATCTGGGGCATTTATATCTCTGTAATAGTGAACTGCTGACAAAGAGCTGCTACCAGGTGGTCACAGCTTTTCAGGCACATCCAAAGTGAGAGGCAACACAGGAACCTTCAGTATGAAGACAACCTGACAATAAGAGAAATAGGTGTCAGGTATCCCTCCTGCCTCAGCCTTTCTTAGTCAGCTTTTATCCTCGTCTTCCTTAATATATGACAACGCACTGCTTCTGATCAGGCCACAGAATGGGGGAAAATAGCTCTGGGTCCTGGACCTCTTCTGTCCAGAGCTGCAGATATTAGCAGCAGCAGGGTCTACCAGCCAGTGTTCCTATCCAGGTGACAGGAACCAAATGAGAAAGGGACAGACTGGCCCCTGGAGATGAGGAACTCCTTTTCCATGTTCCTTTTATCCAAGCCCCAGGGGACCAACATCTGGGGTCTTTGATAGTTGAGACCTTGCAAACTTTCATAACACCCCAGGAAGGAAGACTGGGGAATTGAGAGTCGAGAAGGGAAGGGCCCTGCACAAATAGGTCCCTGGTGGAAGACAAGCATGGTGGTAAGGAACAGCAGCAGGAGCAAAGGGAGAAACTTAGGGAAATGCAGCAAGTGAGCTGGGGAGGGGGACATCACACCCCTAAACCCAGTGTCTTCATCCTTGGCAGAGAAAGAATTGTAGTCTGTCTGGGGAAGGCAGCAATTTATTTTAGTAATAATATTAGATTTTATTTCTATGTTAGATAAGTATGTTATAATAAAGCAGAAAAAGTATGTTGATTGGGAACAAAACTGTTTAACACAAGAAAAGTACATAAGAATATAAAAAATGACCTTCTACCCAGTGCCACAGAGGAGCCCAGCCATGCAGACACCAATACAGTGGTGTTCATGAAAGAAGGCCTCTCTGAGGCTCCTAGATGAAAATTGAAGTCCACTGGAAAAGTGAAGAAAATTAGGTTCTGATGTGAGATGCTTCACCACCATAGTTGGTAAGTCAGTGGTACAAACACCTCACATCAGAACCTGGTCTGACTTCAGGGGAAAGACAGCTGGAGCCTGCAGTAGAAACTTGCGGAGTTCAACCCAGCAGCAGTACAGAGATCTCAACTTAGGTCTTGCAGCCAAAAATCAGCCTGAACCTCAAGGGACAGGTGCTGGCTTGCTGAGACTAATTAGCTTAGACCTGCTCACTCCTGCCCATGCTGTCTAATTGTGTCAACAGAGGCATAACCTGAAGAAGGCCCTCTATTTCTATTTGTATTTTTTATTTTCAAAGTAATATTTTCACTTATCTTTAATAGTTTAAAATATTTTTATTCTTTTCTTTTCTCAATTTTTTCCTTTTTTGATCTGCTTTTTCTTTTATTCTCCCCCCTCTCTCCCACCTTCAACTCCATTACTCATCCTTTTTTGTTTCTGTTCTTATCCTATTTGAATTTATTTTCTTTCTTTTTCCTTCATTCAATTGCCATTAGTTTTAAATGAAAGTTATTACAGTCTCTAGCCTCCCTATTGCTATTAGTTTGTTCTGTTCTTGGGAATATTTTGTGCTGTCTTCTCCTCTTCTCTTCAACAGCTCCCTAGAGTTTGTCTGATCTTGCTATGTCCTCTGACCTCACTTCTAACTTTTCTTTATCCTAAATATCCCTCCCTCCCCAACCCCTTCTAAATCCCCATC